GATATACGGTATACATGAATGCAGTATTGTACAAGACCTTTGTCGTTTTGTTAACAATTCTGTTAAAAAATGGAATATTTATTTTCATTTTGTTTGAATATTTGATTAATCCAAACAAAAAGTTAGCGGAACTTGGAAGTGTGTGACTTATTTTTATATGTACCTAATAATATATGTTTACCTACTTCAAATCATAGAACATTGTACGCATACCGAGATATATTATATAGTGTTTTCGGTTAGCTGTTGTTGAGCTCGAGTCTTATTGATCGTAGTCTGTGAAAGTTCCAAAAAATTAAAAGAATAATAGCAGAATATCTTGTACATATTTGTTATTTTTAGTTTTCGGAAAATTTGGAAGAAAACATGTACAACTATAACATCAGATAATGTAAAATGAAAAAAAAATCAATATTCGGCTTCAAATGGTAATAAAATGAAAATAATTTTTCAAAGCAATATATGATATTCATATTATAGTCGATATATATTTTATATTGAAAATACGCCAGGGTGTTGTTTCTGAGGGGTTTTTGTTGCCTTATTTGGCCGGACCAAATATCTGAATGTATATTATGACTTATGAGACGTATAAATATTAGATATGTATACAATTCTCCATTTATTTTGTTATATTGGTATAGTCGCTTATTCGTATTCTTATCCTTATAACTACATCGATGTTAAATTTTCAATTTATTTAAAATGCATGAATTTATAGGGACCTAGTATATGGGTATATATAGAATCCTGAACCAATTTACATCTTATACCTACCTACCTGTAAGAATTTGGATTAATGTTCGTTAATAGAGCGTTAATCGTAGAGTTTGTTGAACGCTATATTGTGTATTATAGACTATAGTTATCCTAGATTTTATACCGACTAATACTGCACTCGTGTAGGAAGTTGTCCTTAGTTATGTGTCCAAATCAAACTGAATCTAGAATAAAAAGCCACCAAAAAAAAAAGTCATGAATAAAAAAGTCACGGATTTATTTTTATGCTAAAACAATAAATTTAGTACAATGTATTATTATTTATTTAAAAAAATGTAATAATGTTAATAGAATTTAAAAAGGTTATAGTTAAAAATATGCAAAATATTTTGAAAATTAAAGAAAATACAAAATACGTGTCTTTTTACTTTTTAATAAAAGAATATTACACATTTTAAATTATGAACATAAAAGATAAAGGACCAACTGATCATTTTTCACTGATAATTTGACTAATCTTATCGCCATATCTTAGTTGTATTACCTATTTATTGGTGTTTATCATATGGTCAATAATTTGGAACGTAAATGTTAGGATGGCAATCTGTCACTGTGTGATTGTGTCTATAATCCAATATATGTATATTATTATAGGTGGACAGAAATATATTATTAGGGAGTTGGTAGAATTTTATCTTCTACGCGCTATTTAGTCTCTGATTTCCTCTGTGTACGGTGCGAAATTGTTCGTAAAATAAAATAGTCTATGGTGTTACATTTGCAAAAATGTAGTTACTAATTTATTTGCGGACTTTTTTCAATTTTGTATAATGGAAATTGTCAAAAACTAACAAAGTAGTTAATAAAATTTGCTTTAATGGTCCTACGTCGTTACTCGTTATGCATTTGGGAAAAAATAAAATAACATGGGGTTGTATGAAAGCGAGTTCTCTCAAGTAGTCAAGTAGTCAAGTGACAAGTGTACGGCCGTACGGGGCAATGTACCTATACCGAATTGCAACAAATCCTGTAGAAAAAAATCCTAGTCATAATCACGCACCACCTGATACAGAAGAAATAATTGTTACTATAATTACTAAATGTATACAGAAAATGAATAGGATCGAGTAACTTCTCCTAGACTCTATACTATAGAGTCTATAGTATATAAGTGATGGGCAAATACCCTTTAAATATAATTTCAGGTAAATATCCAAAATATTTACCCGGTGAATTGGACAAATTAATTTTTTATGCTAAAAGAAATCCATGGATACCTATCACAATCCTTTTTTATTATTGTTTCCTGACTTTTCCAATAAAATAATAAAAAAGATTATGTTTAACAATAACTAAAATTATCGATTGCAATAAACTAAATGATTTAAAGTTTTATTAAAATTTAAAAAATTTCACTAAATATTCACCTAAATTGTTGGTAGGTAAATATTATAGTGGGTGAATATCCAAAATATTTACATATCCGTCGGGTATTTACCCACGGCATATCACTTTTCTAGTATGATATATCGATATCCTTTGGAAATATTTACTGAAAATGTATCTAAAATAGAAATAGAAACTAAAGCTAGAATGCCTAACTGAAATCGAACCAACATCCAAACATGAAAAAGAAGGGTGGAACCATCGTTTTTCAAAATTAGTAGGCCACAATTATTCTTCTGTTTGGACATTAAATTAAAACAATGAGGTTAGAGTTATCTTCTGACGAAACAATTTTAGCCCAATTTGCAATAGGTAATTTAAATAGAAAATACTTAAGAAAACATGCAAGACAAATTAGGTAGGTATATAAAATATGCGGTGATGGCTATTAACACAATGGACAATTGATGAATAATTGATAGCTATTGATGCTTACACAATAAGTTTATTTTAATTATTATTATATTTTCTTTTAATTTATTTTTATACAGTATTAAATTAGGTATATTATAATTATATATTTTTATTAGTAACAATTTGACTACATTAATGTAAATTAACTTTTTGACTAATTTTAAGTAGGTATTATTATATTACATGAATATTTGACAGCTATTGCTTATACACAAGCAATTTTAACTTTTTCTAAATTGTATTAATTACATTAAATTTTAAAATAAATAATAATACATACATTGTATTAAGTTTATTGTTTTGGCACAAAAATAAGTTAATCTTTTATATCTATAGCTTTTTTGTCCCATTATGGGCTTTTTATCCATGCATTTTTTATCCGGTTACCACAGTATACCATGGTATAATGTAACAATATATCAATATTAATAATTTAATAATATATAGACTATAGTTCAATATAAACTTATTGTTTGCAGTGAACATATATTATTTTTCGTTAGGTCGCTTGGCAAACGGACAGCGTACATTAATCGTTATTTTATTATTAAAATAATAATATAAAAAAATAACTTAACAAAGAAAACCATATTATTTTTTGTTTAAAATATACCTATTCAATTTCTTTGTTCATAAAAAAGTTGAATACTTGAATAAATGTATATACCTACACGTTTTGGATTTATATATATGTTTTACAATCGATATTTTTAAATTGCTGTTAGAACATATACAAGGTACTTTGAAGCTATTGAAAATGAAAATTCGATAAACTTCGATGTTCCAAGTTAATACGATTAATATTTTTTGAAACAAATTTGGTCTGTAAGCAGTGGCGTAGCAACCAGCGAGGATTTTGGAATGTGGGGGGACAAAGCTAAAAACAAATTAGATACCTAAGTTCCTAACTATATCCAATTTTCTACCAGAGACAACGTTCAAGGATTGAGATTGAAACATTTTAACTGTTCCAAAAGGTGATTGAAAGGCAATAAAAGAAATCACACATCTGCATCGTAAAATCCAAAGTGTATACATTCATCGGTACATTTGGAATCTAAAAATTGTATCTTCGCGGACATACGTCTTCGTCAATAAAATTTTATATATTCGACGATAACGATCGGCATTCTGCGACGCCGAGTACGGAGACCACGTCGTGTCAAATAAGCCGCAGCCGCTCAATAACGAACACATTTCCCAGAACCATCCCCCTCGTTATCGAGGAGAATGTTTTTAAAATAATATACAATATTACATCATAATATATCATATATAATATTATATATATCTTTATCCTTTTTGTCCCTGGGACTTGAATAATAACAATAATAATAATAAATATCGAATCAACCGCGCGCGCGTTCGTCGAGAGGAACCTGCAGTGTGACGTTGTGCGACGGAGCAACGCCATTCGCTGTTGCCATTGGCAACAGCTGATTCCCGCTGAGGCTGCACTGCGCATGTACGATCGAGATATTTCTCACCCCCCCCCCGCCGCCGTCAACGACGACCCGACGACCGTGTTCGTAGGACCGTAGCGCACTAGCGCCGTGTATCCGCCAGTTTGTGTGTGCGTGTGTGTGTGCGCGCCGAACGCCGATGTGCCATGGAAAAAAATGTTCATTTACATTTTACAGTATAAAGTTTACACACACACACATGCACACACGCACAAGCGAATACTTGAGGTATACTAAGAAGTGTACACACATACATATTATATTATTACTATTTTATAAATGTTCTTGCACACACGCGCATTGTAGAGGGCGCGCTCGCGTGTTGTATACTTATTATACACATATATATATATATATATATATATATATATATAAACGAGTATACACTATCACGTTATTGCTTATATAAATATATTGGTGCACGGCATATATCTGATATCTCTATATACGTATGTCTGGCGTAGTGGTGTAAGTGGTCCCCCGTCCCCCGGTGACATTCGTTGATATTATTATTATTATTATTAGTAGTAGTAGTTAATACTTAATAGTTATTACTATTGTTCTTGTTCGTCTTTTCGGTAAAACGGAACGTTTCGGTTGTTTGATCGGCGATGGAGCGAATTGTCGCCGTCGTCGCCGCCGCCGTGCGCCGAAACAATAATTGTTAGTCGCCGCGCACGTTGGACCCCAATGTCCACTGTTCCGCCGCCACCGCCGCCGCAGCAGCAGCAGCCGCAGCCGCAATTCGTCGGCCATTACTTCACAAGCGACCCCGGAGTGACGGAGACTTGCAGCGAGCAATGACTGTTCCGCGAGCGTACCGATAGGTTGTGCTCAGTCGGACGGACGATATTCTTCATCTGCGAGACGTTAACCACAGCTTGTTGCGGAGCACCAAGTTTCAGACAGTCTTGCACAGCGAACCAATGCTGTTAAGGTCCACTGCTGGCGTCTAGTATGAGTGGTGTTGCGCACGTCACTGGAGACGCGATGGCTGTTCACCGGCAGCACGAAGAGGGATCGACATCGTCGTCAATGTCCATCAGCACCACCGAGCCCACAATAGACTGCAGTCGCAAGAGAATTCACAGCGAAACAGGTAAGTGTTTTTTACGTCATGCTCCGTCTATGTAAACATGATTTCACCATTACTCTCGGCTAGCCAGTGGTTTATTGTCAACATATCGTGCCAGACGCTGGGCCGTTCAGCTGTCTAGGTGGTTTCTCAGTGAATACATTTGCTCTACGTCTACTGATGATGCTGCACAAGCATAGTTTTATAACTTGTTCGTGTTGTACACTTGTGCTTAAACATTCCATCGTATAACGTCTTAATGTTTTATTTGTCATTATTCATTACCTGTTATTACTCACTTTATACAGTAATATGCACTCATATCTCTTGTCTGTCGTAAAGAAATTATTTTGTAAAAACTATCATTTTTACTCTTGTCTTGTTACACTTCTGTAGGTACCAGGCATAATATACATGTTACACATAATATATTATGTAGGTACCTACTATTTGTATCTTAAAGAAATTACTTATTCTATCTGTTGTATTTACTGAGAACAATCCTGGTGGAAGTCCCACCGTACTTTCATTTTGTGAAATTATGTAAATATGTATACCTATTACATCAAATTCCTTTTCAAGTACCTATTTTTTTTTATGGTTGTTTCACTTTTATAGTCAACCGTTGTTCTATTTTTTTGGTATTGCTTGCTGAGAATTATCAATATACATATGGTCTCAGTAGAGCGGTTGTTTTCGTTTAAAGCTAAATATGGTGAATGATTGTTTGGTATTAGACTTGCATTTTAACCTTTTTTTTTTTCGTTTATGTCCTTAAGAAACAGTGCCTAGTATAAAATATGCTATGGACTTTGGTACTGTATCATTTTAATTATATACCTAATATAAATTGTGCTTAAGTGTCTTGTCAATTGAATAACAATAATTATTCTTTATTGTTATCTTGTTGAAAAACATTTAGAAATTAAAACTTAATTACCTTAAATAATTTACTAATTAAAAAAAAAAAAAAAAAAATAATATCGTGACATTTTAATTATGATGTAGCTGTTTATTTGTCAATTATAGTTATAGTATTTACTATTAGTAGATGTGTAGATAACTAGATAAGTAATATTTTCAGTGGTGCAACTAAGGGCTGATATTTAGGAGGACTGAAGTCCTAAAAAATAATTCATTCTTCATAGGCCCAGGTAAGGTTTTTATTTTATAGCCACTACCAGGGTAATTATATTAACAAATTAAATTAAAATCGTAAGTTTACTTATACATTTGTTTTGGAAAATTTTGTCATAAGTACATAATAAAATCGAAGAGATACCTATAGTAAGTATAATCAGTAAGTTTTCAATGGTACATTTTTAATAATTAATCCCTAACTTACTAATACATTAGGAATAATTATATTTACAAACAATATAAATATTCTGGTATACTCGGGATACATTTGTTATATATAAATGGTATTAAATAGAGCTCGGATTAATGTCTTAAAAATATTAAAAATAAGACTTAACAGACCCTGGGTTCACATGTACTCATATCATATGTATGAATATTTTAACTTCCATTGTTTAAGATTATATATGTTGATAGCCTCAGCAACATGCTAATTAATATGTTATTTTAACACGTCTCCTAAACACCATAATATGTATACCGACATTAAGTAGGTTCAATTTGTTTGTTTTAACAAAATTTCTCATAACTTAATTTGCTTTTAATCATTTGCATATCTTAAGTATGTATTCAAGACTTATTTTTAGAAAAATAAACTTACATTTAAATCATTTAATAACACTTTAAAAATGTTTAAACATAAATTTGAAAGTCGTTAGCATTTTTACCAAGGTCAACTACAAAGAAAAAATATTTACTTTGATAGAAATAGAATTTCAATTAAAATGCATATAAACGCTTGCTTCTTATGTACCTATCTTTAAACCATAAATTAAGTAGATAAGTAGGTATTAAGGTAATTCTTAAAACATTCAAAATCAAATTGTATTCTTAAATTAATTAATGTGTGAATATGTCGGTATTCACAATTTGTATTATTTATTTTTATGATTTCTATAAAAATATATTCCTTCCTAAATTCATTAATTTCTGAGCTCAAATTGTAAATATATTATTTTTAATGATTTAATAAAGAATATTTTCTAATGTAATATTCTAACCTATTTTACCTATTATAATAAATAATAATGTTTTCAATTAGGTATAAATAGTTTGTAATTTATCCTCTCATTTACAATTTATTTGCTGCACTAAATACAGTGAGTTCCGCTTAATGTGATCACTGGTTTATAGAATCAACCGTTTATTAGAATCAAAAATGAAAATCCCAAACCAAATTGTATGCTACTAATGTTAAATTGACCTTTTATTAAAATCACTAAGTACCGGATAATTGAATCACTTTTATGAACAATCTTATCGTTTTTATGGTATCTTAAACTGATTAATTTATAAAAACCATTTTATTTTTGAATTTATCAGTATTACTGTATATCGTTGTACATTATGTCAATCAATTATCTTTGTATGTCGCGGCGTCGTGTACTTGTGTTATTTAGTTTATTCGGTTTATTGTTCATGATCAGACGTATTTTTTGAAATGTCGACCAAATGAAATGATTTAACTATAAAAGAAAAAAAAAATCTACTCGTTCGTTTCGATAAATTGGATAAATGTTCTCAAAGAGAAGCCGCATTAGCTCTGAAAATTCCTCAACCAAAGTTAAACAAAATTTAAAAAAATCGTAAGGAAATTGTTGAACATTGTTGTAAATGCTTTTTAGAATCAACCGGTTAATAGAATCAAAATGACCTGCACCAAAGTGATCACATTAAGCGGAACTCACTGTAGTTCAAAATTGTTAACATTTTATTTTAGGTATTTAACATAAATAAATGATACGATAACCTTTAATAGTAGCTTAATAATATCTAGGTATATTATTACTTATTATAGTACTTGACTTTTCAATGGTCATCATTTTGGTGAGCATTAAGAGAATGTTGCACCCGCATGTGTTGTTCCGCCTACAAATGTAACAACATAACAAAAACTGTTTTGCTCCAGAAAGAACTGAGAAAGCTACAGTCATAACTAAGAAACACTAGAACATAAAAAGAAGAACTTTGGCTATACAATAAAGTTTAGATGTTTTTGATATCACTTATATGAAAAAAGTTCTTATTGTTTCAAAATCCATTATTATTTGTGTTTTTCAAACTTAAATTAAAACAATATTGCACAGCCAAAGTTCCCCTTTTTATGTGGTAAATATGTTGTTCTTTATTTTATGTCTGAAGCCTTCTCGGTTTGTTCCCGCTTCAAAACAGTTTTTGTTATGAGACGTCCTCTTAAGAAAGAATATAAAAATGTAATATTGATGTCTTCAAACTAAATGAAATAAATTAACATAAAATGTCTTATTGTAATACGGTAGTTAATACCTACCTATGTTATGTAAAATATTAAACTCGTTGGTTATAATTTATTGTAAAAACCTAGGGTATACTAATTTTTGTTGAATATAAAACTGAAAGATCATTAATTTATTTATGTTGGTAGTAAAACGTTACAAAAAAATAACTATATTATTGAAATGATATTCAAATATTGACTATTATTTCAATGGAAAAATATTTTGACACTATTTAAATGATTAGGAAATCAACCTGTGTTCTTTTTTGTAGCTTGTAATTAATGCAATTAATATGTATATTAATATTAATAACACCTAAATACCTTAATCAAAATGATTTAATTTATAAGTGTTAGCATAAAAAATGAAACAGTATGATGTTCATATTAGTCTCATAATATTAGAAAAATATATTTTTGTTACCTAAATTGTGTGACCTAAATTTTGTCATGGATACAGTTCAAAACATAAAACATGATAAATTTAAATAATAATTGAAGGTTTTAATCCTGGGAGAGCTGACAAAAATGTAATTAGAAAAGTTTTTGTATTAGGTAAAGTACCATGTGTAAGAAAAAGTAAAAACAGTACCATAATTACGCTGGTGACTTGTGCTCTGTGATCAGTGTACTGATTTTAATTTGTGTCTCATCTTATTTTAAACCTATAAAATTGCTTAAATCTTCATCTTTGAGGGTTGGTTTTGGTTGTAAAATAGGACAGAAGATAGGAAGCACAGAAAATAGGAAAAATTCACTCAAATAATTTTCACTCGTCATTGACCTTATGAGATCTAAAATTATAATATCAGTGATCAGTTCTTAACAGTTTTCTCGTAAGTTTAGGATCTAGGGATTAAGGAAATTCTCCAGTAATTTATTTTGTCAATCATATTCATACGAGCATTCATATGATAAGTGATTTGGCTATACACACTTGGGATTTCATGAGAAGGAATTGTTTTGAATTTAATGATCCAATGTGCATTATAGTTCTAAACCTGCACTAATAAAATCCAACTATAATATGGATCCAATATTTGTGACTCATATAAAAAAGGTTTAGTTTAAAAAGTTAAACATATTAAGAATTTTTATGTGTATTGTGTATCCTATGACAGAAGCTGGGATTAGAGATTAGAGGATATTGCTAATGAATTCAAATTAAAACATTTAGATCACTTACAATGTTCTAAATGATTAATGGATTACCTAAAGTCTTAGGATTGATATAAATTAATGTGCCAAAGTTTTCTATATTTTTGGTAAGGTAGAACTAGTTTTTGTATACCTTCTTTAAAAAACGGCTCTGCCAGTGTGTTGAGGCATTGATTTACTTATTTATGAATGGTTTAGGTGCAAGGGTCTTATCTCCAGTCACAATTTGCTGTAAAAATTCTTTACCTTCACCATCTCTAAACGTTTGAGAAATGCTTTTCCTGAATTATCACATTAGGTCTTATGGACATCTGTGAGCGGTTTTGGTACCCAACAGGCACATAACTTGTGGCAACCTAAGTTTTCAGACATGGTTCTGTTTAGTATGTAGAGTACTTTGAGAAAGTTCGAAAAATCTTGTTGGAAGATCTAAAATCATAACCACTGTTTTTACAAGGTTTTTACAAAC